TGAAATGGGTATTGAGCCCAGAAGAAGTTAGGTTACTGGTCCAGGATCATTCAACTACAAAATGCTGGTGCTGGAATCTATTGATAAACCCAGCTATGTCTGACTTCAAAGCTTGTGGCCATAGCCCTGGTGCCTCACTGCCCGAATGGGGACTTTGTTTAGTTGACCTGTCATTCCTCTAGAAATCTACTAAGATCTCATACGAATAACAAGAACTGGGACTTCCCTCAGGGTTTAGCAGTTAAGATTCCATATTACCAATGCAGGGGGCCCACCAGGTTCCATCCCTGGTCGGGGAACTAGATCTCTCATGCTGCAACTAAGAGCCTATATGTGGCAACTAAGATCCATCCCAGCTAAATAAACAAATAAGCATAAATTTTAAAAAATAACAAGAGCTTAATATGTGCCAGGAATTGTGCTCAGCGCTTTCTATACATCAATTTATTTTTGTCATCAAAGCAACTCCGGGAGGTAGGAGCCAGTAGTAACCCCTTCCACAGACAAGAAAGCTACCACTAGTGGTAGAGCCAACCCCAAGTCCTGGGTTTTCTGGGGGTCCTGGACCAGTGTTACTTCCTGTGATCCATTTTGCCTCCTGTTCACACTAGCACACAGGCTATGATTTGACTTGGATGCAGTTCAGACTTCTGAAAGGTTTCTCTGTTGTCCCAAGTCTGGAGGACTTCCATCAAGTGTATGTGTGGAGCTTGCTTATTAGTTTCCAGAGTTTAAAACACCCATCGTGCTGAGAAGTATTCCACTGCCCAGACATTCACAAACACCCTGCCCACATTTTCAAAAGTGTCTCTACCTAGTCCAATCCACCCTCCTCCCCCTTCTCATTAGAAAAATTGAGAAAATTATAGGGTGTAGTTAATATACCCCAAAACCTGCAAAATATACATTGTTGCAGCATTGGTCATTATAACAATGATCATACAAAAAATAGGAAAGAAAATGTTAAAGATTTCAGCAGATTTTGTATCCCAAGTCATTAAAGAAGAAAAAAAAAATTTTAATGGAGGCAGGTAGAGGGAAGAAAGCCAGGGAAGAGATACAATGAGACAGAAAGCAAGATTCTTTATATTCATAAACCCTGAATATCTGAATTGATTTACTTAGAATCAGTGGTAATTTGCATGCCCTCCTATGAAATGCTGAACAACTTAATTGAACCAACAAGCCACACAAGATGACCAACAGACAACAAATTCCTTTTGGAAGTGAATTAGGACTTCCTGCATCATTTTGGTTCTTTATGGGATTTGGGTAAAGAGAAGAGATGATTGGAAGGGAGAAAAAGCTTGCCCATTGTTGTCCACAGAAGTAGGATAATGAAAAGAGAACAAGACCAAAGCAGAAAACCTAGTTTCAGTCTTAGCTCTGACACTCATTTGCTATGTGAGCTTAGACAAAGCACTTGCCTTCTCTGGGCTTCAATTTTTCATGTCCGCAGTTCATTTCCATGGTGCTTTCAAATTCCATAATGATATTTTTAAATTATATAGAATCACAACCATGTTTTTTTGTTTTGCTCTGCTTTCGCTTTTCTTCTCACAGTTGCATAATCAAGTGAAAGACTGAGATGTGCTTGCTGCTGAACACACACATTTATCCAGAGGGCAAAGCCACACAGACATTTGATTAAAAATCTTCTGATAAAAGCTGTGTCTCGCATCCAAATCCCAAGTTCAATAGAACTGCCTTGAGATGCCGGCCCGGGCAGCCTCTGCTAGGAGGAGGTCCATGAAGGCCTCTGAATTTCTTTCATTGCAACACTCCCAGAAAGTCCACCCTGTCATTAGCCTGCAAAGTAAACACCATCCTCTGCAAAAGCTCGGTCAGAGTCACCTAGAGTCAACCTCGCTCTTTTAAAAAGAGAGCTTTCACCATTCATCACTCCACCAGGCCCTGCTTTAAAACATGAAAACAAACATGGGACTCCCCTAGGAAATCACCCTGCCCTTTCATCCAAAATCACGGAAGGCTGTGGGTAGAACTCAGAATTATGTTTCATTGGTCCAGATCACAGTTTGTCTGGAAAGAAAAATCAACAGAGGGGAGAGAGAGGCAGGGTCCTGAGGCTGGGGTAAGAAAAGAGCCTTTCTGCTGTGATGCCATAGAGCTGTGCGTGGTATTAACACAGTCAGAACATTTTACCTAGAGTCTAGAATTTAGACCTATTAGTAAGCATTTCTTTACAGTGAGGAATTTTTACCATGTCATTTTGTTCTTGTTAATTCAGATTCTGCTTCATTACATTAAAGCTGCATCTTGTGTTATGTCTTGAATCCCCACTGAGCTAGCAAATTCTTCAAAGGCAAAGGAAGTTCCAATTCTTTGGTTTCCAAGCCCAGCAAAGAGCCCAGTGGTGTACTGAGCCGAGAGAGGCAGATTGCCTGGGCCAGGGTGTCAACTGCAGCTCTTCAACCTGCCCCCCAAGCCCTTCTCCCACCAGTTTATACCCATCCATTTCCGTGACTCACAACACACTACTTCCTCCCCCAAGTCTGAGAAGACTAAGGAAGCCAAAGCATTACGAGGTTCCTACACAGCCCAGACTAGCCTATACTCCATCTTGGACTTTCTGAATAACGATTAATAACAATAATAGCTAACACTTATTGAGTACTTACTATGTGCAGGCATTGCCGGGTGATTTCTTTTTGCCACACACTTCATGACAACCATATGAAATAGCTACTTTTATCATCACCATTTTACAGATGAAAAAACTGAGGCCCAAGATACACACCTAAGAAACGGTAGACCTGGGATGCAGATCAGGGTTGTCTGACTTGAATCCTGTGTTTTATCATCTCAGATATATTGCTTCCTAAACTGGTTTGTATATGACTTAAGAGAAGAGATTCTGCCTTTTTTTTTTTTCCCCTGAACAATCAAAGAGCCAAGAGAAATTCTGAGCAGTAAATAGCAGACTCATGGTACATTCCTGATAACTGACTGATGGGAGACCCTTGCCCAGGGTAGTCAAATGCCAGAGACAAGAGTGACAGAAGGATAGACAGGGATCCTGCAGAGAGTTTGGAGAACTGCTTAAAGCCAGGCCAATTTAGGGTGCGGTAATGTAGGCACAGAGACCCCTTGCAGGCAATACTCGGAAATTTCCAGAAAGCCCTGAGAAAGAAGATGGCTTTCTCTCCTCTGAGGAAGACTGTCCAGGGAATAATGAGGCATCCAGATCTACAGCTAGGGCACAGGGTGGCTGCTGAACCATACCTGATTCACTGTCCCCATCCATTGGCGGTCAGTAAGGAGCCAGTGTTGATCTTTGCAAGCATCTGCTGATTGGCTATCCCAGATGACATCCAGTTTAGAAAAAGGTAAGCACTCACCAGTTCCTATGCTTTGGGTGGTATGCAGAGCTTTGGTTTTTGTTTTTTTTTTTCCTTTTCCTACACTAAAAATATGAACTTTAGTAGGAGACTTCCCTGGCAGTCCACAGATTAGGACTCTGCACTTCCACAGCAAGGGGGCCAGGTTCAGACTCTGGTTAGGGAACTAAGATACCACCAGTTATATGTTGTAGTTTAAAAAAAAAAAAAAATATATATATATATGTATATATGTGTGTGTGTGAAGGAAACATGTCATTTAAAGAGATTAGGATCTCAGGTTCTAAAGGCCTTATTTTACCCATCGTTAATAGTACTGAGTTCAATGGTACATATCAGTTACAAAGAATCATGCTTGTATAAGAAAATGCAATCTCAGTTCTTTATCAGCCTTTCAGGATCCCCTAGCCCTTGGAGTAAGGACTCAGAACAGGAGCTCTTCATTGTTTATGACTGATTTCTAGTCAAGAGAGGCCAAATATGATTATGATACACTGAATGAATGAGGGTTTTACAGTGGATTGAACAGAGACAGATCATAGGAGGCTTGCCTCCTCATGCAGTCACACAGCACATGGTAATATAGGTATGCCAAATTCACAAGGACTTGCCCCTTAGATACTATCCTCAGATTGGAAACATTTACCTTACATAGATTCCACATTTCTCTAGCCAGCATTGCACACTATGTTGACTCATCAGTTTGGAAACTAGCTAATTGGCTACTAAACTGCTTTAGTCCCCACTGCGAATTTTTAAGAAATAAAGTTCTTTACCACGTCTCTTCTTAGCTATTTTTCTTCTCTGATGAGTAATTATAAATACCCTCTAGAATCTTCTCATTTGCCTACTTAGAAGAAACTCAAAGAAACTCAAAAAACAAGACAGAAACCTGCTGGTTCAATCATATATAAGTAGCCCAGGAAACATGTTTATGCAAAAGGAAGAATCACAAAGTTTAACATTAGAAAAAGTGGGAGAGAAAAAGCAGTACACATAGGAAGCACAAAATGAGACGATAGAAATAAATCCAAATATGTCAGTAACCACAATAAGTATGAATGGACTAAACTGACCTATTAAAACTAGAGAAAGTATTAGATTGAAAAATATTATAAGTCCAACTATATTTTAGAAGAGACTTATTAAACTGTAAGGATGCAAAAGGACAGAAAAAAGCATGAAAGAATATAGAGCTGTCAAATACTCACCAAAAAAAAAAAAGGTAATGTGGTTATTATATCAGACAAATGAGTTTAAAATAAAAAGCATTACTAGGGAAAAAGTGAGTCACTACATTTTGATAAAAGTGTTAATTCATCAGGTAGGTGTAACAACTCTAAATGCATATGTACTTAAAGTTGACCTAGGAGGAGTCATTTGAAATGTTCTTAAAGGATAAGGAGTTCACCAGAAAGTCAAAGGGAGAGGGCAGGGAGAAGAACATGCCAGACAGAGGAAATGTAAGGCACCAAAATCCAGAGAGGTAAGAAAATGTAGCACTGTATGGCGGTCTAAAGCGCTGGATAATTACACTGATGAAATCTTTGTTTCTTTTACACTTTCACGTACCAGGAAGAACTAGACCAAGTTCCTCTTCAGCATAAAACCAAAGCCACTAGAAAAAGAGTATTTACTTACACAGAGATGAGAGGACTGAGCTATGGTTTCATTTTCTCTGGCAAGTCCTGCGCTGCAGATTTGCAAAATCCCAGAGTAATTTGCTCTGGTGATGTCATTTTCACCCTGGATGATGACACATCCTAAACAATCATGGGGCTGATACCCTCTGGCTGTCAAGGAAAGGTCCAAACAAAACCAGCAGCATTGCTCAGCCTTAGATTGCCAGTAGGCCACCTTGGTTCCTTGCTTTCAAAATTACAATCTGACTTGTTACATGTAATAAAAAAGAGGGTAAGAAAGGAGAAAGAAAAACAAGTGTGGAAACAATTTCATATTAATGTCATGACCTAATGCATCCATTTGATCTCAGCTGGCAAAGAAAGCAGAAGATCCAGTCTGACAAAAAAGATCCGGGATAGTTGCACAATGGGGTTCTGAGCTAGGATCGTCTTTTATTTATTGTCAGTTTCTTTGTATATTGTCAGTCAATCGCGAGCAAAACACCTCAAAGATCAGCCCAAAAGTTTCAGTACGTAAGGCACACTTGACGAGGAATTGCTTTTTAAAATTTCAGATGATTTAGATAATTTGTGGCCTTTGAATTTGGACCCCATTTTTTGCTGATACTTTAAACAAAGGAATTATCTAATATGTGGTAGGAATTGGCGCTTATCTGTCTCAGACGGTAAAGAATCTGGCTGCAATGTGGGAGACATGGGTTAAGTCCCTGGGTCGGGAAGATGCCCTTGAGAAGAGAATGGCTACCCATTAATGGCTACCCATTGCCTGGAGAATTCCATGGACAGAGAAGCAGGGCGGGCCACAGTCCATGGTGTCACAAAAGAATCAGACATGACTGAGTGATTAACACTGCCAAATATATATATACCCATTTTTAACTTTGGTGATGAAAACTGGAAAATCAGAGGAGGAGGCAAGAGGGACGTGAGAAAGGATTGTTTCTTTTCCTGGCTTCTTCTAAAATGTCCTTTTCTGCAAGGTAAATCTTGTTTTTCCTTTAATCATAGCAGAAAGCCTTCCCCATATCAGAGAAAGTGAAGGGCAGGTCTTGAACTCCGTGCTGTATTTTCTCTCCAGCTATCCAGGTTTGTCCTCTGCCCTTCAAGGAGCTCTGTCCCTCTCTTCTCTTATTGATTCCTCCTTTCTTTGTACATTCCTCAGTTTCTTTCTTGCCCAACACAGAATGGCAGAATGTTTGCAACCTAGTACTTTATATAGAGGCTGCTTTATTTTATAAATTCAGCAAGTGTTTATCAAGCCCCTGCTGTCTGCCAGCACTGTTCTGGGTGCTGGAAATACCGCAATGAACAAAGCAGAAAAAATCCTTTCTGTCACCAAGTTCCCTTAGGGGGCCGCTGGGGAAGGTAGCGCAGAGGAAGTGCCCTCTGAGCTGACATCTGAATCATGGAAAGGAGTGAACCCAGGGGTCACATTTGGAAGAGGTTTCCAGCCAGAGGGACCAGACCCCCCCCAAAAAAAACAGCTTTGAGAGGTGCATCAGTTCCATGCATTTCAGGAAAAGGAAGGAATTCCATGAGCTATTCCTGAGATCTTGTCACCCGCCCGTGAAGGGCACTTGTAGCTGCTAGATCACTGAACTAGAGCCTTGCCAAGAGAGGAAGACATGCCGCCTGCTCTAAGTGAGAAGTTCAGGTTCTAAAGTGTGGCTTCTAATTCCATTCCGAGCTATGGAGTTAGAGGTCGGGGTGGGGGATCCTGTGCTTCCAGAAAAGCAGTGTGATAGCTGCTGATGCTGGCAGAGTAGAAAGACTAAAGCCTGAGGAGCAGAGAGGGGAGGCCTGTGTGACAGTCCAGTCTCCCAAGGTGGTGGCAGAGAACAGGAGAAAGATGAGGGCTCTCTAAGAAAGGGAGAAGGGGGCACAGTGTCTTCCAGAGAAAATATATCAGTTTGGATGAGGAAGAATGGGGGTTAGAAATATGAAACAAGGAAAATTAGCTTAAGACATTCTGCTCACAGAGTTCCGGAGTCGGATTAAAAGCAGTCTCAAGAGAGAGAGCTAAACACCTGGGGGACCAAAGGCCTGGCTAACACACAGATAGGTGTACTTACCTATATACTTACCTGCCTCACACGTATAGTCATACGCTCATGCAGCCATCACAGGTGCCTTTTCATTGTGTGCCAGGGTGAGGGAAATAAGCTCAAAATATTGGATTGGCCAAAGTTTTTGTTCAAGTGTTTGTATAACTTCTTATGGAAAAACTCAAATGAACTTTTTAACCATCTCAATACCTTTTATTATACAGAAGGCAGGAGGACTAGTTCATTCTTACAGACTTATCCTCAGCACCTTTTAACCTTTGTTCCCCTTCAGTAAAACGTGGAAGTCACAAGCGTGGGTGTGTCCAGTTGCTAAGTCATGTCCAACTCTTTGGGACCCTGTGGACTATAGCCACCAGACTTCTCTGTCCATGGGATTTTCCAGAGAAGAACACAGGAGTTGGTTGCCATGTCCTCCTCCAGGGGGTCGTCCAGACCCCAGGATGGAACGTGCGTGTCTTACCTCTCCTGCATTGGCAGGAGGGTTCTTTATCTGCTCAAACACATTGGAAGCCCAAATGTCATATATTACCTCTCAAAGCTATTTGAAATTTCAAAGTAAAAATCGTAACTAAAAACAAAGCAAGGTGATTTCAGAATGTTTCTTCAAGCTACATATGTCCCCTCTGCCCAGATTTTGGTCTGCACCTTTCTGATCTAGAGGCTTCCCATCAGGATCTCTGCTGAGTTGTAGAGCCCGAAAGGGTGGCCACAACTGCACACCAGCCTCGGGCTGCGTTCATTAACCCAAAAGAGAAAAGGAAAAGGCAACAACTTAGTGGACTGCCAAAGCTTGTCTTTAAAAATATGTAGATAGGTTGAGTCAGGGAAGGAGAAGGAGCCTGGAGTAAAGAGAGAGATTACCTGGCTTCAGAGAGCAAAGCTAGGACCAGGAACTAAAAATTTCAGAAAAAAAAGTTTCATATTAAAAAAAAAAAAAAAGATCTCACTAAAGATGCTAAAGATCAGAACTTTCTGACAGTGGTTGCAAGCAGGAGCCTGACCTGGGTCTAAGGTCCCTTCCAACACTTTCATTCTGTGATTTGGTTTCTATCTAAACACTATGAGTGCAGGACTGAGTGAGGGTTTTCACCAAGGTTTTTGTTTCCTTTCTTTTCAGGAATATTCCATTAAAAAGAAATATCAACTTCACTAGCCATTAGGGAAATATGAAGCAAAATCCCAATGAGACACCACTTACCACTCACTAAGATGGTTATAACAAAAAAGATAGACCCTAATGAATGTTGAGGAGGATTGAGTAGAAACCAGAATCTTCCTGTATTGCTGGTGGTGATCTCAGAGAAACAGCAGTGGGTGGTCCTGAACAGAGATCTTGGTTCCCTGCCCAGGACTTGAACCTGCATAGCCTGTATGGAAAACCAAGAATCCTAGTAGCTAGACTACCAGGGGCTAGAAGCTAGAAGCAAAGTGGCCCTGGTCCTTGCCCCTGTTTGAAAGCAAGAATGTTTCAAGGAGGGAAAAACTGTTAAAACTATTGATCAGTTGCTAAGTCGTGTCCGACTCTCTGCAACACCATGCACTGCATCACACCAGGCCTTCCTGTTCCTTACTATCTCCAGGATTTTGCCCCAAGTTCATGCCCATTGAATCAGTGATGCCATCCAATCATCTCATCCTCTGTTGCCCTCTTCTCCTTCTGTCCTCAATCTTTCCCAGCATCAGGGTCTTTTCCAAGGAATAAAAGCAGGTACAAAGTTTATTATTAGAGACAGAGCACAAGAAATGGGAGAGCATACAGAGAAACAGTTTATTTAAGACAGAAGCAAGGCAGAAAAACACACACTGAGAGAAAGGGTATGGGTGTCCTCTCTAATGAGGAGGAACACAGTAAAGAGGCAGTTAAATTATTGATATAAGGCAGTTCTTCTGGGTATTTGTTTACCTTCGGCCAATTATCTCACTTCTTTTTTCACACCTGAGTGGTCCTAGAATCCTCCCCAACATGCATGTGCAACTTTTTGCTAAGATGGATTCCACTGCAGAGGCCTGTGGGGGTATGTCCGTGTTACTATGGGCTGGCACTCCCTACCTTTTTGACCCCCAAGGCGCCTTCCTGCACATGTACAGACAGGGAAGTGTTCCTTGACCTTGGGAGTGGGCATCTCATCTCTTTACGCCAGCAGGGCTCAGCTCCTGCCATTAACTTTGTCCTTGGAGTGTCTGGGGAAAGCTAAAGCTTCAGTTTTACTCCACTTAACAAATATCAGCTGTCGACCGAGAGGCCCATCTGTCTCCTACCTCAGTGGGAATGTAAGATGGTATAGCCTCTTTGGAAAACAGTCTGGCAATTCCTCAAAATGTTGAACATAGAGTTGTCATATGACTCAGCAATTTCATTCCTAGTTATATACTTAAGAGAAACGAAAACATAAGTCCACACAGAAACTTATACGTGAATGTTCATAGCAGTATTACTCATAATAACTGAAAACAACTCAAATATACGTTGGAAACAATTGAAATGCCCGTCAACTGATGAAAGGCTGAATGACGTGTGGTATATACATATAATGTAATATTATTCAGCAGCAAAAGGGAATGAAGTCTTGGTACACGTTACAACATGGGTGAACCTTGAAAACACTGTGAGAGGAGCCAGTCATGAAAGACTACATATTATAGGATGCCAGCTATGTGAAATGTCCAGAATAGGCTCATCTATAGAGACAGAAGACATAAGTAGATTAGTGGTTGTCCAGGTCTGGAGAGGGGAAGGAAGGGGAAAGAATGGAGGGAGAGGAGTTGGGGAGGAAATAGGAAGTGACTGCTGATGGCTACACAGTTTCCTTTTGGAATAATGAAAATACTCTAAAGTTGATTGTGATGATGGTTGAACATCTATGCAAATAAAGAAACAAACAAAAAAAACCCTCACAGCTAACACAACATTGTAAATTAACTATTGTTGTTGTTTTTTAGTAGCTAAGTCATGACCAACTCTTTGCCACCACATGGACTGCAACACACTAGGCTTCCCTGTCCTTCACCATCTCCCGGAATTTGCTCAAACTCCTGTCCATTGAGTCAGTCATGCCATCCAACCATCTCTTCCTCTGTCATCCTTGAACTCCTGCCTTCAATCTTTGCCAGCATCAGGGTCTTTTCCAAAGAACTGGCTATTCGCATC